GGAAGGCTTTTATTTCACAAGGGGAACCAGTCTGAGTCCTCATGCTCTGACTGAGCCCCAGGATTAGTTTCAGAAATGTAATTCTCTTGGTTTATTTTTCTTTTTTTTTTTTAATTTGTTGCAACAGCACCTTACATCTGCCTGTGCTGCATGACTCTTCCCCTCTAAACATCAGCTTCAGGACCTCTGATGGAGTTCAGGCTTAAGCAGGGTGGGAAAACCAGACCAGAAGGTCTAACACCACTTCATTACTCTTTTGCACAGCACCGACTCCAATGGAACTTCACTCAGTGGATACTGTGTAAATGTTACCTACCACAAATGGGACTAAGGCTTACTGTAGCATGCAGCTATTTTAAAAAAATAAAATTAAACCACTCATATTCAAGAAAACCTAAAAAGCCCTCCTCATTCTCATCCCATATTCTGAACAGATCAAGTATCTTCACTTGAAGCTAAGTAAGAGCTAATTACTTCAGGATTCACAGTAACAAAAGCTCTATAGTTTGTATTGCAATTGTGCTCTGAAGAAGAAACTGTAAATAGCAACAAGCAGAGATTCATGTTTCCTGTGGGATAACCCACCATTGCTACCTCTCCAACATCATCAGTGTCTAAGCACCAGTATCTGTGCTCACACTACCCAGTAAGAAAACACTTTCTCGGTATTTCTAGCTAAGCCCACTCAGTTATTTTGACCTGACACCCAGAACGGTTCCAGACACCCACAGGGGAGGCAAGCATGCCACCCACTGCTCTCCTACTCCATGCCACTGTTCTCCAGTAGCATCTTACCTTTTTTCTTCTTTGGTTGTTCAAATTCTGGAGTCTCTGGTGATTCAGCGTAACGGTCTGAGGCTTGGTGAACTTCCACTACCTCTGGGATCCCATCAAGCGTGACTGACACGTGTGTAATAGGAGCCACCATATCATCGTCTTCAGTCGTACCAAACATAGTTGCTTAAGGGAAAGGGACAACAGGAATATTTTCACACAGCCACAAGGACTTTTAAAAGCCTTTTTTTTTTGTTTTGTTTTACACAGCAAAAATTTAAACATAGAATAAAATGAAAACATAGAAAAACTATGACACTTAAAGCTTTCAGGAGAGAGAAGACTAGTTCATAATAGAATAATCCGTCCACAACATTTTACATAGCAGAAGCAGTATTACAATAGAGCAATTTAATTATATAATCCCCTCCTCCAAAAAGCACAATTATTTGGTGATCACAAATTTTTATTCATATTTAAAGCGATCTGTAGATACAAATGTATATTCTTTTATCTTGGCAAGACAAACAGGCTAATCCTCTATCAGCCAAATGAAACACTGCAATCTGAACCACCCAACTTCATTCACATCGTCCCTCTGTAATTTTTGATTCTTTTCTTACCTGTTCACCTCTGGCATGGCAATGAAATCCTTCATTGCATGCAACACTAGATTTCTGATATCCAAACTATGTATGTAAAATCTACCTGGAAACAAAATAATCTTACAAAATCCATACAACCGTGCTGCACTGAATCCCTCATTCTTTCACAAATAAACAAGGCAAATACAAATTGCATCTGCTTTCATAAAAAACTTACTTATTCTTTTTTCATCCATCATAGGACCAGGGGAGTCCATATTGAGAAGTGCTTCAGCAGCCTCAATTGTTTCCATTGTTTCATCTCCATTATGACAAGATGCTTCAACTAAAAAGCAAGAGAGAAAAATCAATTAATTCTTAACAAGCTACAAACTGAACTTAAAGCTTAACATGACATTTATTCCTATTTCATTTCTTGGGAAAAAAAAAGAAGTGGTAAACATAGTCCTCTTCTACTAGATGAGTAGTAACAGGTTAGCTGGGGAGAAAATGAACACTGCCATAATTTCATTTATTTAATACACTACAATTCTCAGATTGTACATATTAAAAAACCCAAAACAAAACAAACACAAGCCCTTTGTTTCTGCCACATCTTTCTAATCCCCCTCTTTACTGATCAAGCACATGCAGTAAAACACAACATGAACCATGAACCTTAACAAATATTACAACCACAAACAATAATCCAGATAGTATCCTTTAAAAAAAACCCACAACATTGCTCATTTCTTCTTAGGATGGTCCAAAGGAAGTGAATTCCATAATTAAGAGATGCTTGTCAAAAATATCCTGTCATTTCACCTGGAGGACAATCAAGAAAATATTCCTCAACTTCTGTTAGGGAGTATATGACCTAAAGGTGTAACTGAATCCTAAATCATTCAAATCCATGGGGATTACAGGTAGGGCTAACAGCGCAGGCTCCAGGAACACACTGGAAAGCAAACATAAAACATAAAAAGCAATACAGAGGGCTGGCAAACTTCTAAAAGATTTTGACTGCTAGACAATCCCTCATCAATCTCATGAGGGTTGTCATTAGACAAATCCAAAGCTCTTAAGCATTAATTTATAATTAAGGTCATCTAAAGCCACACACCAAAAAAATCCAATAAAGTATCATTTTGCAAAATAACAGCTCTCCAAGAAGATAATATTGGTTTGACTGGAGGAGTACCTTGCCAGAGGATTTTTTTCAAAATAATTGTAGCACAACAAATAAGTTAGATGTTAGTTCCAGTACCTGCTACTGTAAACCTTTAGAACTGTTTAACACATTCATTTAGAAATTACTCTTTGTTAGATGGAAATGCACGGGACAGGTTTCCTTGTGAAATTTGACACGAATTTGAAGCTATGTTGGGGAATTTTCTTGCACCTATCAAAGCGGTACAAAAGCTGCTTTAGTATTCCCCTCCCTAGGACACCAACAAACCTTGGTTACTTTCTCATTCCAGTAATGAGTCAGCTTCACACCCTTTCTCACTGTTTAGCTTTGAGGAATTTTGGGTGGAGCAGTCACCAAAAGAAGAAGGGGGGAAAAAAAAAAAAAGGAGACAGACTGACTGACAGAGCAAGCAAAAATGCACCACGAAACACAATGACCTTGGAACATTTCTTCTTCACATAAAAGCAAGAGGTTTATGCCAGAAAGCAGAACTTCTACACTTATTAAAAAAAAAAAAAAAAAAATCACGGTAACAACAAAGCACCCAGCCCACTAGCACTAAACAATCACATAATTGAAAAAAATCAACCGATCAAAAAAAAAAGTTTCACCCCAAATGTTTACAGCTTCAGCAATCCTATCATTAGGAGAGGGCAAAGATGAATGCAGACATTCACGCATCAGCCCAACCTCCTCCACCCAGCTGTGATTTACAGGCAGCATGTGGAGCTCAGGAGAAGCCTCATCACCTTCTGGATTTTTTCTTGACCTTAGTCCTGCCATGCCCCAAGTGTCACAGGCTCACACCAAAACAGAATAAAGCACAGACAGGCGTTGGGAACCCCTAACCCACCCAGCAACTCGCCCCGTTGTCCACAGGACCCACGTCTTGCACAGACATTCAGCCAGTTCAGAACCTGCACCTTCTGGTTCATGTCTCCCAACAAACTTAAGAAATGAGAAGCACAGAGTTGGGGGGGGTGAACAGCATGAAGAGACAAGGGGAGGCAGTGAGTACAGACTACAGTCCTGGCTTGGGAAGCCATAGAGCGAGATGGGGCAGCAAACCACTGACAATTTTGTCGTGCAACTTGCAGGCTCAGGAGCTCTGTCACAGAGCATCTCATCCCCAACAGCCAAACAGCATTCCTAGGGAATGCCTGGTTAGCTGAGGAGGAGACTGAACCAAGAGCAGCCTGTGCACTCCGCAGACATGCCTGTGCTTGGCCTAGCAGTGCTGACTTCATCACTTCTAGTTCTAAGTTTTATCTGGATGGAAACTTTCCATATCATCATCTACGATCATAATGAACACCACAATAAGGACATCACCCTAAATACCGGCACACAGCACTGCCAGCGTAGCTGTCAGCAGTTCTGACGTTGTCTGAATGGACAAGAAGGTAACCTGCCACCACCCAGCTCAGCCGAAGCCTCCGAGTGGGGCTGGTTCACGCTGCCACACAATTTAGAAGCCAGAGGTGGTGGCCCCTGGTCCTCAGTGCTGCGGGTGGGGAGGAGGGAGCAGCCGCTGTTTGCTCCTTCCCTGGTGAGAGCTGTACGAGGAGTAAACTCGTCCGCTTGCTTTGAGGTGACGGAGCAGAGTCAATTCTTCACTCCGAGTAACAGCAGTGGAGGCAGAGATCGCCAGCTTTACATCACTGTTACATCACGTGGCTGGAAGTCAACCACGCGTATCCAGGACTAATGAAAGGAACTTATAATAGTCATATAAATAACATAAACATAGAAATTAATATAATTGGATGCTCACAAAAAATGTAAGGAGCGCCAACTATCTGTCTATCCACAGACACAGAATGGCAAAAACAAGTTTCTTAACCACATTAATGCCCTTGGTAACACCCTTCAAGCCTCTTCGTAGAAGGTGACTTTACAAGGTGTTTTGAGCCAAATTAGTATTTCCCTACTGCTGAAAAAACAAGAGCTGTGGTTCTCCCTCCCATCTCTGCCCCTGGTTCATCATCCAAACTCCTGCGACTTAACGCAAGCCAGGCTTCACACTTTTTTGATCACGCAGTGAGACAATTCAGTTTTATAAAAAGATTGAAAAGAAGTTTTTGGGATTTTGCTGGGTTAGCAAGTTGAATTTTGAGAACTCAGGAGCTATGCAAACAAGGTGTGGGGTACCACACAGAGGACATCAAGCACCACCTCTCCGTCCTACTAGCAGTAAGACGCTAATTCACATCACGACTTCAGACAGTGCTTGGAGATAACCACTTCAACTACAAAAGGCAAGTTGGTGTCTCTTATTTTAGTTTTTCTCTTAATGTTGCAAAAGGGTATTCCAATCACTGTTATGATACAGTCACAAATTTAAGAAGAATTGGGATGAAATAGCTTATTTGTTATATACTTTGGCAAAGTCACAGTTGGAATAATGGCGGTGGTGGAGGTAATTTCTGAGAAGCATCAGATTTCAAATGTTATCTTAAATACATAGAAATGTTAAAAAAAAGGGGGGGAAGGGGGAAATAAAGAGGGGAAAAAGGAAAAGAGAGAGAAGGAAAAAAGGAAAAAAGAAAGAAGAGAAAAAGGACAGAAGAAAAAGAAGGAGAGGA